GTGAAGTATAAGCTGTTTCCACTCACTCTCCTGGCATTAAGATCCATGTCTTTAATGAGTACATATTAGCCTCTTGGCTTCATGTCATTCAGCCGTGCATGGAACACATGCCTCCAGTGTTCTCCTGGACACTGTGAAAAGTCACACAAAGGCAGGCAGCTCCGAGGTATCTCCCTCCTAGCCTCTCAACTGTATTGCTTCTGTGTGTTCATCTCATGTCTGGACTCGGATACACGATATTAAGCCTGTCTGTCTAGTCGGTAGGTGGTGGTGCACGCCTTTAATCCCAGCACTCGGGAGGCAGAGGCAGGCGGATCTCTGTGAGTTCGAGGCCAGCCTGATCTACGAGAGCTAGTTCCAGGACAGGAACCAAAAGCTACGGAGAAACCCTGTCTCGAAAAAATCCAAAAAACAAAAAACAAAAAAAAAAAAAAGAATATACTCTAGCTCCTGTTCAACTCATTGAGTTTCTGAGGAAAGAAACCCATAAAAATATTATCCTTAAGACATAGCATCAGCTTAAGATAAACTATTTCTTCATCTTTTGTCCTTCCTTCCAAGGCATTTGCAAGCCAAGGCTCCTGAGAGATTCTGTTAGATAGGTAGAGATTGAAGAAAGGATGGAAGATATCCAGACATAGCTGTGTCTGATCCAGTAATACCTTTGTGTGATGTTAGAACAAAACACTTCTCCTGTACAGGCACAGCCCACGTCAGGGGATCCAACTTGATAAGAGGAATGTAGATTAGATTTTAGGGCAGCACAACAATGTGCTTCCTGTCTAATGTACTACACCTGGTCCATACAGCTATGCAACCACCATGTAGCTTATAGGTCACAGACATGCTGAAAATACCTAGCCCTTGGCTGATTGAGGACTGGGCATTTATCCCAGCATGCCATGCCAGTGACATCTGTTCTTTCTAAAAACTCTTCCACCCAAGGCAAGACTGCTGGTGCAGAAACATTTTCCGAAGATCTCCAGAGAGAAGGCAGTGCAGTAACTGCTTTCTTAAGGTCTAAATGTTGGCATTTCCAAAATAACAAAAATAGTGTCAAGCTAATTTGCATAGGTAAGGAGGAAGAAACATTTTATTTAGAGTTTTTATGTCCAGTTATATTTGCAATATCTATAGGATTTAATCATATGTACCATGATCCAGTTATATTCACAGGTCTGTTCAATACCTTGTTCCTCCTCCTGACATCTTATTACTTAGGTAGGCTAACTTGAGAAGTGTGAGTGTAGAAAAATTAAGAGGAGAATGCACAGTACTCTTACATATTTGAAATCTAGAATCAAAAGATTTCTTAGTTTATTATCATTTAAACATGGAAACAGTAATTAATACAAAATGGGCCTGCTTAATAAGATTTTGTTCTTTGATATTGTTGTAATTTCTTTGAAATGGAACAAAGTCCCACAAGATTATAATAAAATTTTACTTATATGTCACCCATTTCTTCTGAATGGGCTAAACACACATGGTTATGTAAGGCATACTGTGTGCCTTCTTCTGAAAATATCCAAGACAACTAACATTTTACAAAACATGGTAAACAAACTGCTCACAACTCTTCCACAACTACTAGTTTATTCTAAGGATATAATAAAATTTAAATTATTCTATCTGGAATTTAGATTAACTATGAATTTGAACTATAATGTCAAGTATTGAGAGACAAGATAACATAACTAGAGTTAATAACCAAAGGAAAAGTAAAGAACATTTCCCAGAACTAAAGAAGCATTCTGACATGGAGATTGAAAATAGTTTAACAGGCAGGATAAGAATAAGACCTGTCCTTCACTGGAGGCCCCATAGAGAGCTCAGAAGAACATGGATAAGGTCTATTTATAAGATGACCATCAAGTACCAACACATTTCTCAATCATAAAATAGGAGATAGAAACGTGGGGTTTTGATGGTTATTTGTTTGTTTATTTTTAAAGTTTTACAGGAGAATTGTTTGAAAGGATCATATGGAATGGCAAAGTAGATATTGGCACAGATAAGGCATCAGGTCTGCCAGCAGACCCACCTTCATCTTGGTGACATAAAGCACAGCTCATCTCCACAGGGACAAATATGAGTGAACATGGACTTAAGTCACCTCACATATATTTAGTGTTAGGTTCATATAAATCTACTTTATAGAAATAACAGCTTCCGTAAGTAGTGGTTAGAATTATGTTTATAAAGTCCAAGAATTAGAAGAAAAATAAACTATGCTCAAAAGTGGGTAAAAGCAGTCAAAAGATTCTCTAAAGGAACTTCCTCATCAGACTTTTAATATATTAAATATGTTCAGAGAGCTACAGGAAACCATTTTGTAGGAACTAAAAGAATGAAATGTTTTGCCACATAGTTAAGTGAAACAAAAATATTGTCAATGGTACTTACAATCTTTTTTTCTACAAGCTCTAAAAATAGTAAGGTCATCTTTATTATAAGACAGGCAGCTTTTCAAGACAAGTTAAGCCCAGAAGCAGACCACAGAGGAAAGTTTTTAGGACATTGAAACCAGCAGGAGCTATATGGCCCCAACAAGTCATAACTTACAGATCCCTGGAATTTAAGCAAAGGTTAAAGATTTTCAAGGAAAAATAGAAAATGCCAAGTGTCCTAGCACTGGTCTCTGTTGCTGCCTTTACTTTGTTTCCACCCCTCTATAGTAGCTTTGACAACCCGCACCCTCACAGCCTTACAGGTACAGAATGGGTGCAGAGTATCCTAAAAGTCAGGGTCCCAGCAAACTCTCACTTTGTAATCTATAAGCAACACCTCAGAAAGGCCGTGTTCATGGGGCTTATCTTCATTTGACCACGTACAGATCTTACTAAATGAGAGACTCTTACAAGGTATCTGTGGAAGGAAGATACCTGCTGACAGTCATTGAACATTACAACTGCCCGAGGCATCAGTTAGATGGAAATATGGTGGCAGAAAGATTAACAAGAAAGTCAGAGACTGATCAAAAAGCCAAAAAGTACAGCTTGTTGTAGGTTAGATTTTTGTGAGGCTGACTTACCAGGCCAAGGTACCTGATATGGCCAGTGAGAAATAAATCTTGACCACACATAGGATGGAGGAGCCACAGTAAGACTGAGGCTCTGACAAGTTTATTATAAGCAATCAGACATTTTATACCCTTATCAGAAACAGAATTTAGTGGTTATTATCAGCATCAATACAGTGGTAGGTATGCAGGACTAATGTCTAAGGCAAATAGTCCTGACAAGTTTCTATATACCTGCTTAGTGTCTAGGAAATATAGAGAATCAAGAGGTAGCCTAAATGCTTCACTGCCTGAGGGAATACCTGGTTTCACACAGTGCCCTGGGAGCCACCTGAATACTCTGACACATGCCTCTCAAAAGCAGCCAGATCAGGCCAGCTCCCTGATTCCCTGCATGCTGGTGTATGCTTGGGATGCTAGTGTTCTGGCTTACAAGTTTGAGGCTAGACTGGGTTACAGAGTGACTTTAAGTATAGCCTGGACCGCTGGGCGGTGGTGGCACACATCTTTAATCCCAGCACTCGGGAGGCAGAGGCAGGCGGATCTCTGTGAGTTCGAGGCCAGCCTAGTCTACAAGAGCTAGTTCCAGGACAGGAACCAAAAAGCTACAGAGAAACCCTGTCTCAAAAAAAAAAAAAAAAGTATAGCCTGGACCAAAAAGGGAAACCCTGACTCAGGAGAAGAGAGAAGGGAAAGTAGGGAAGGATATGATTTTAACAAGAAAAATTCTAAATGGGTCCCGGATCTTTTCCGTCCGGAGAGATCCTAGTTATGGGTTATTGCCATAAACAAATAATCCAGTGAAGTTAAGGCCTAGAGCCCTGGAAGGAGGTAGGAGACAAAGGAGGGAAGGCCAGGATAAGGGAGAGCAGAATGTTCCTGTTGTAGGCCTAAAGTCAGCACAGGATGCTTCTAGGACGATGGAATCTGTATTCCCTGCCCTTTTCCCATCCAAGTACTAACCAGGCCCAACCCTGCTTAGCTTCCGAGGTCAGACGAGATCGGGTGCGTTCAGTGATCGGGCGCGTTCAATGTGATATGGCCGTAGACTTCCCTGCCCTTTTCTAGCTCAGAGAACCTTGTACTCAGTTTGAAATTACAGCGACAATCATTAAAGACTTGTTGAAGTGGAATTAGAAACAAAGTAGATTTATTAGGAAAACAGTCCTGCAAAAAGAAGAAGGAATGGGCTTAAGGGGTGGTGTTAAAGACTACTGCAGACCTTACAGGAGTCCAGGGCTTCCTGTGAGAGGACCTGGGGGTGGGGGGTGGTGAACAGCTCTGCTGCCGGGCACCACAGGAAGGGAACCATCTTAGGAAGAGCAGGCACTCCACTCAAAACCTGAGCAGATCCCGAGTAACTTGGGGACTGGGCTGCAGAGGACTTCTGGTGAGACTGGGGACAGGAGACTGGTGGATAACTACTAGTCCTACTGTAACACAGTGACTTTGTACCTGTGACCCAAGAGAGAAGACTGCCTCTGTAGGGAGCAGCTATTAATCATGGACCATTTACTTGGTGAGCATCCCAGATGCCACCCTTGCAGTCAGGGCACAAGCCAGGGAGAGGCATGGAGGCCCTGCAGTGGGCGAGGGGCTGCTCTGCAATTAGGGAAAAGAAGGAAGCTCTTTGAACTCTTTTGCTAATTAGTTTTGAATCATATTCATCCATAGCTCAGGTCACCTCTGCTTTCTCAGGTAAGGAGTCACCCAGCTGCTGGCAGAGCACTCAGCTATTAACGCTTCATCTCAGGAAATTAGGTTCTTTTTATGTTTTTTAAAATATGCATGGACTATGTCGTATGCATAACAGATTTGAAAACTGAACTGGTACTTCATTGTTTTAAAAAAAATAGCTTCTTCATGTTAGTGTTGGGAAACAGCGGCTTCATTGCTCATTACCATTTATTAGACCCAGTGTTTTGGTGGCTTCGTGACGGTCTGGTGCTTAATGAGTGCTGCTTAATTTTTCTTACAGGGCAAAATTCTAAGATCATCAGTCCAACCTCAAGCATCGAGAGTTTGCCTGGGGGAAGAGAGTCCTCTGGCTCCCCACCTTCATCAGCCTCTAAAAAGGATTCCTTTTTCAGCAGCCTCGCACGTTCCCGCTCACACAGCAGAACTATAGGGAGAAAAGAGTCTGTAAGTATCTAAGAGCAGCTCGCTTTCCACCTTTCATTTTATCCTAGAGTGGTGCACATAGGGAAATTCCTCTCATGCCCAGTTAAGTAAAACTCCTTACACGTCTGTGGACTTGAACAAACTATTTTTTCATGGGTATGTTAGTGCTATCATTATAATTTAGATAATACTTTAAGACTGTGATCTCTGTTAGCAGGGAAAACAAAAACATTTGTTCAAAATAAATGGAGTATTTTTCTAAATCCTTCTTCTGTCCTCTTATCAAAGTATGTCATATTTCGGAACATAGTCCCACCATTGCTTCTTATGGGCTCTGTGGTTCGGCAGGCAGACCCTGAGGAGGAGTTAGAAGTCAGAAGGCTTACTGGTGAATAGCACCTACAGAAGAGAGAGAGCTGTGATTGGACACAAGTGCCGTCCACGCTCACCAGTCTCCATCAGGCCTCTGTGTGGCCCCTATCCAACTGCCTTCTAAATTTTAATAAACAATACTTTGTTGGTGAGAGATTATGACACTGGGAAAAACAAAACAAAATAATCATTCTATTTTAAAATACTAACCTGAGTCAGGCAGTAGTGGTGCACACCTTTAATCCAGGTAGATCTCTATGAGTTAAAGGCCAACCTGGTCTACAGAGTGAATTCCAGCACAGGCTTCAAAGCTACAGAGAAACCCCGTCTCAGAATACCAAAATAAATAAAATATTAGCCTCGAAAGTAAAATAATTTTGCTTTTTGTTATAAAAAACTATATGAATCACATTTCTGTTATGGCGAGGTTTTTTGTTGATTGTTTGGTTTTAAAGATTGATTTATATTTATTTCATGTGTTTGAGGTTTTGCTTGTACTGCATATATGATCACTATAAATATGCCTGGTAGCCACAGAGGTCTGCCAGATCCCCTGGAACTAAAGTTATACTGTGTGGGTACGAAACCAAACCTAAGTCCTCTGCAAGAGCAGCAGCCAGTGCTCTGAACCACTGAGCCATCCCTCTAGCCCTCTATTTCGTTATTTTCATAGTCTCTGTATAAATCCTTTGTATGTAATCCTTAAAAGGCTGTATATTCAGATTGTATCAACTACTTTCATAATCTAGTTTTAATATTTTATTATCTTTTATTTTTGTGATAATAATATAATGACATCATTTCCCTTTTCTCTTTCCTCCCTCCAAACCTTCCCACATACCTCTTCTTGCTTGTTTTCAAATTTATGCCTGTTTTTTCATTAAAAGTTGCTACATGCATACATACATACATACATACTTACATACATTCCTACATACATAAATACAACCTGTTCAGTCTGTATGTTGTTACTTGTTACTGTGTGTATGTTTTGAGGGTTGACCACTTGGTATTGGGTCTTTACAAGCAGTTTTATAAGAAATTTAGCTACATTTTATGGCTGCTTCCACACCTGACCTAACATGAAGAAATCACTTGCCCCCCGAAAGAGGAAACTATATCAGAATCTAGCTATAGCTGGAAAATAACAACTACTAACCCCCTGGAGAGATGATTGGTCAAGATATGTGAAAGATGAAGCTTTTGATACCATTCCTTGGTAAGCCACTTCACTTCATAGTGTCTCAGCCACCTCATCTGGAAACCAAGCAGTGTCCATCACTCAGGTTTGGGGCTACATTCTGAGAAGTGCAGAATACCTCTGTTCTCTACATGGTTCTGAATTTAGACCAAGATGGCTATGAGGTTTTTTAGTGACTAAGTCTCACAGTTCCATAGTTAACTATTGGTCCATCGCTGACTGAAATATCATTGTGCAGCACATAGGTGTGCCTATTCTCTGAGGGAAAGGATTCACCTGTGCTCTATCACAGCTGTGGTCTGCAGTGTCCACAGGGTGGGACTTACTATGAAGACAGTGTGTCTGCGACTGCTCACCTCTGCCACCTCCCAAAATTCCTCTGCAATTAGCAACAAACTTCAAAATAAGAAACCGGGACAGACAACACACGCAGTAAAGTCTGTTTATCGGGAATCATATGGCAAAGGGTAACTAAACAGCGTAAGAAAGCTGAATCCTCAATCGTCAGTAGAAAACCCAAGAAGCTCTTGCTTTAGGTGTGAATTCATCTGGGACCTGAGGCCTTGTTGATGAAGATGGAAGGCAGAACAAAGCTGTCACTGTTGCCAGTGATGCACACAGAAGAGATTTCTTTTCCCATCGAGCAGAAGACAGGAGCTTTAGTTCTCTGGAAAGAGTAAAGTAAGATCACTAGACTGAGAGACATCAGACACATTCCATATGGGGCTATGCTGTGGACAGTGGGTGATTATTGTATTAAACACTAAATAGAGGAACTCTAGCCCCGTCCTCCTCCCCTTGTATCCCAAAGTATCAGCATAGAACATGTGAACACACACACCCCACAAACATTCTTCCCTTAGGAATTCTTCAAGGAAGAAACCAGGTCATGTGACAGTGGGCCTAGCCATCAATAGGTACCATCTAAACAGTGCTTCCTCGTGCCTCTTCAGTTCATAGCTTTCTATATCAAGACAGCCAAGAATCATGCAATGTGGTGATCAAAGACAAAAAAAAAAAAAAGACAACTAAAATAAGATAAAATATTCATGGCAAGACAACTTCAGAAAGTAGCATGTATGTATATGTTCATCTTTCAGTATCCATGGAGAATTATATCTAGGATCCCCTCCTGGTACTGAAGTCTGTGAATGTCCAAACCACCAGATAAAATTATATCATGTTTGGGTATGCACCTTTTTCCATGTGAGTTAAATCATACCTTAGTCATTTAATTGCTATGTGAAGTGCATACTGTTTAAAAGATAGTAAGCTAAAAGTCTACGTGTCTGAGGAGAAAAGGAGTGGGGTGTGTGTCCCACGTATTCAGTACATGTACTTTTTAAAAAATATTTTCAAGTGATAGTTGGTATACAGAACCCATAACTATGGAGGGTTGACTGTAATTCTTTCACAGACTAAAAACATGAATACGAAAATATAATATCCAAACTTTACAACTTAATGGAAGAACTGGAAAATAAAATTGAAGAAATACTTCCCAGAAACCAAAATCTAAGACAAGATTGAAGTAGAGAATAAGAAAAAGTATAACATAGCTGAATCCAGAAAAAAATGGGGACAACAAAAGAGGGTGTGAATGTACATATAATTCAAAGGGCTAGGAAGGTGCTGGCTGGGTAAAATGCTTGTCTTGGAAACAAGAGGCCATGAATCCCATCCCAAAATACATGCTTTAAAAAAGAAACAACAAACAAACAAAAAGATGGCAGTGAAGTCCAGGTAAACCAGTAAAAGACCTCATCCTAAAGAGGGAAAAAAATACATGACACCCTGCATCGTCCTGTGGACTTCACAGACACACAACAAGGTGTGTTTCCACTATTTTAAACCGGAATCTTGAGATTGAATATCATACATACACAAGTAAAAAAAAATACACTCATATCCAGTACTGAAAAACTTCACAAGAGAACAAAAGACATCTTAGGGACTTATAGTATTGAGTGAAAAAAAAGGTTTTATCTATAGCAACACCAAAGCCAAACAGTAGACCATTGCCTTCAGTACTGTGGAATGAATTTACTTCCTACCCAAACACCCAGCTAAACCACTATTATGGTTTAAATCTGAAATGTCCCCTAATGGTGTGGATCTTGAAGGCTTGAAGAAAGGTTATTGCATCAGCAGGGTGCCAACTTTGTCAATGGATCAATCTATATGTGTTTATACCTGAATGGTCTAAAGGAAGTGGTGCCAGGTTGTAGGAAATAAATACTGGGGGCACACCTTTGAAAGATATATCTTGTCCCCTGTCCCCTTTGTTCTTATTCTCACTGTTCCTGGCTGCCATATACATATCTATTTTATAAAGTAAGTCTATTAGCTGCTAATCTAGTTCAAATTATGCTGTAACTATTGAGAAAATAGGGTTTGTGAACAATATATTTACCTAGAGAAAGAGAGGAGCAAGCTGGCAGTGACCAGTAGAACTAACTCTCATTCTTACATAGTGAGAAATCAGTAGAGAATACTCTCCAGGAAAATAAAAAATTGAGCAACTTAAGCTAGAGGTAAAAGTGAGGGGGGTGGGGAGAAGCATTTAAAGTAACTGTTTCTGGGGAACAGAAAGAAGTGAGAATGAGCTTTTCTTTTTGTTTTGTTTTGTTTTTTCGTTTTTTTTTTTTTTTTTTTTTTCGAGACAGGGTTTCTCTGTGGTTTTGGAGCCTGTCCTGGAACGTGAGAATGAGCTTTTCTAACAAACTTGTAGCAGCAGTTGACTCTTCAAGAGCTACATATGTGAGCTACATTTAAAATAGTAACCAAAAGTTGCAACACAGTAGAATACACTACCATGGTTAATCAGAGCATTTGTCTGTTCGGAAAGTCTGTATCTGAAGGGCTAGAATATGAACATCATAAACGAGACAAGCATATGAAGACTTGTTTCTTATGTCTTATATTTGGTAGCATATGGATTGGTCTACAAAATCAGCTAATTCTGAAGGTAATAAAATAACATAAAATTGAGAGGTTGAGAAATAGGCCTAATTCCCCACATTGACATGTTGTATACTGTGAACACCATACATACATTAGATACGTAACTATGACCATGTGGGTAATCATTTCAAATTTAGTATATCTCTTACATTGAAGAGATGGAGCTAGAAGTCTTCAAAGAGAAGGCTCTGGGTTTCCACTCCATTAGCCTTAGTATTGTTTGCTATAGTCAGTGTTCTTTGTTGGCTCTTACCACAGTAGTATTCCATATATATCCTGTGGCCTGTCAGCTAGATAACTAGTTCTGTTCAGTGTGTTGAATGTGTAGGTGTTTGATATGTATTGCCACTGCAAAACCCTACATATATCTCTTTTGGCACAATGAACTGCAGGGTATATCAACCCAAGAAATGTAACCCTGAATCATGAGTGAAGAGTGAGATTGTATTGATTAACCCTCTGAGATTTCAGAAGAACACAGTGC